TACATTCGATTAAAAACTGTTGCACTACTGTCCACATCGTACATTGCCGCTTCCGCGATAACGCAATGTAGAAATCACTCTTACAAAACAAGATAAAATTTGACACATATTATCAGTCTATCACTACTTTTTTCCGATATAATAAATCGGGTTGATCTCTCAATCTCGACGGAAGCGCCTCGGCCATAATTAATACAGCCAATTAATACAGATGGAAACAACGACATAACATATTCTTACGAGAATCGGTTATCGATTGGCCTGATAAATAATATAGAGACCTGTCTTGGCGGCGCGCACAGTGCACAACAAATTAGCACGTTCGCTTTGAAAATTCTCCACGCTCAAGTTCAAGTATATTCCCTTTTTACTCAATTTTTTTGTTAACCCCCGACCGAGGGAGACGCGCTGCCAGGCTTCCACTTTAGAATGAAAAAAATTATCGCTGTCGGCCGCGAGGAACAAAGCGACGGTGCTTAAGGTCACCGTGCGTCGGTGCACATTCGGGTTTTCGGAGGTGCACGAAATTGTTGGAAAGAAAAAAAGCAAGGCCGTGAATTAATAATTCATTAACCACGCGCGACCCTCGTGGCCGGGCTGTCCGCGTCGCCACGTCTATCACGCGTATAATTATCGTGAAATTATAAATTATGTAGGTCTTTAGATAAAACCTCGTATTACACGTCGCTTATGTGTACACGGTGCACGATGCACACCGGCCGGGGTGAGAGAGGGAGAGGTAAGCGAATAATGCCATAGGTCAGTTGGCGTTTTCACGCACGAACGCGCAGTCTCTCTTCGTGGCGAGGAGCCTCGTCGTCGTCGTCTCGGCGCGGTGCATCCTCGCTAACGAGTATATTCAAATCAGCGGCAATTCGCAATTCCTCCCTTTAATTGCCGCGATAATATGCCGGCGCACGCTAACGTTGCTAACATACGAGGAGCCATCGCGATCGCGTCTATTTCGGGGCCGTGCGAGCCGAGAAACGGGGCTTCCGAGCGCGACATTTATCGCACGAGTCGCACAAAAGTAAATTACCAAAAGAAGAAAATCTCGTCAAGTCGCGCAGTCCGATCTCTCTGGCAGAAATTTTAAGTACAACGAAACGCGCCTGCCGTCCGATCGTACGACCGAGAAAGGCGGAAGCGAAGCTGTGCTTTGAGAGAAAAAGATATACGTAGGATGATGTCTTAGAAATTCGAAGTGAATCCCACTTGGACCTCTTGCGACCAATCTGCTCCCTGCTAGAGGATCTTTATTAGAATGCTTTTTTTTCCTAGGCGCTGATGCTTTTAATGGAAGAGACATTCAAGTGTCGACATGAAAATAAGTTACTCAATGACACCGTCAGGTTCATGAATGGCAATTATCGACACGGAGGAGGGGGGGGGGGGACTACTCGGTCGCGATTCGGTCTAATGACTGTCCGGTCTAACGCGGCTCCTAACGAGTCCGTAAAACCTGGCGATCCGATAAAATCGCTCGTCGCTCGTCTCCGCCTGCAAAGACGCGCCCGACATGCGCCTCTGTCGCGCATTAAAAATAGAAGAGCAGAACACCATTTATCGGGATTATCCAGCGGATAACGCCAGATGAAATCTCCCAGAATCAGCCGCCGTGCGTCTGTATCCGCTTGCGCCTCGCGCTCGAGGTTCCGTTTCACGGCCACGATCCTCAAACCGGATCACGGGATCCAATCCGCAATTTAACGCGGCCGAATGGACAGCATATAAATTGAGCGGGCAGGTTCTTCGTTACAAACGCGGATTATGATTGCATGTAAATTGCGCGCGGTGCGTAATTAAATCGACTCCCTCCGTCCTCGGTATCTTCGGGACGAAGCCGCGCGGCTTATTACTATCGCAGACTGCATCGGCACGCAGTAACACAATAAAGATGCATTATGTCACTGCTATCGGCAAACAACATACGTAACCGCGGCTCGGAGTCGCGGGCCACGATTATTAAATCGGCCAGTTTACTACGCGTACCTGGCGCGCGCGGCTTTTTCGGCCCGCAAAAATAGAACGTGCGCTCTAATTCCGCGCGGATACAATTCCGATTCCGCGATTCCGCCCCGCGCGCAGCGTTACGTGTCCCGGGGCGCGGGATTGCGCCGTTAAAAACAAAATCTTTCTTTTCGCCCCGCGACGAATTATCGATCGTCTAAAATGGACTCCGGAGAACGAAGGAGGATTATGCAGTCGGATAATCGGAGTGAGAGACGCATGCGAGCGTGAATAACTAGGTAAACTATGTGCGCAACTATGTACAACTATAATATGCGCGCGACTATATACGATGTGTGTATATATATATATATAACGCGCCGTATTAGATTCCGCTCAAAGTCATCGGAATCAACGGACAGACCATAGGCTCTCTTACACAATCTCCAGTCAATGATGATATATACGTGCGTATATATAGTCATCGGCCGCGGCACGCACACACTCCCACACGCACACACGCCCGGATCCCCGAGCGCGCTCCCGACGCAAGAGAATCTTACTCCCTCGTCATCTCGGCGCAAGAGTGTTTTTCAAGCCTGCGTCTCTTTCGCAGAGTAGGAAAACAACTCGCGGATCGCCGGAAGATAAATCCCGAAGGAAAGCGCACTCGGGATGCTAAGATAAACTAATAAATATACAACAAATGGAAAAACAATTAATACGCGTGCAAGAAAATTAATTCTTGAAAGTTTAGTCTAGACCCGAGGCGAAAATCTGTGTTGCACAAGTGCTCAAGAGATAAGCGTAGTAAATATACGAGTAGCATTTAAATATATTAAAAAGGTGCTCCAAGAGCTGTTTTTTGAAGAAATATGACTTGGGAGCAAGTTGATGATTTGTTTGATCGCAACTCGTGATTTGGAGCATTGAGAATACGACGCAGAGCATCCAAAAATGGAAAACAGCAAAGAGATAGAGCTACGTCGTGTTTAACGATGACTTATGTGACTTAGATTGTCGCCTCGGGTACGAAAAGTACAAGGAATTAACCCGAGGCGAAAATCTGTATTTTACAAGTGCTCAAGAGATAAGCGTAGTGTATACACGTGTAGCATTTAAATATATTGAAAAGGCCGGTGCTCCAAGAGCTGTTTTTTCAAGAGATATGACTTTGGAGCAAGTTGATGATACTTGGCTTTCAAGCTTTCGCGGCTGCTGTCTTCTTCAGTCGTAATGGCTTCCGGGTGGTTGCCGCGTCCGTTTGCAGTGTGCTGCCGACGTTTCGCAAACATTGCTATGACTTTGGAGCAAATTGATGATTTGGAGTATTGAGAATACGACGCAGAGCATCCAAAAACGGGAAACAACAAAGAAATAGAGCTACGTCGTGTTTAACGATGACTTATGTGACTTAGATTGTCGCCCCGGGATACGAAAAGTACAAGGAATTAACCCGAGGCAAAAATCTGTGTTTTACAAGTGCTCAAGAGATAAGCGCAGTGTATACACGTGTAGCATTTAAATATATTGAAAAGGCCGGTGCTCCAAGAGCTGTTTTTTTAAGAAATATGACTTTGGAGCAAGTTGATGATTTGTTTGACCGCAGCTCGTCATTTGGAGTATTGAGAATATGACGCAGAGCGTCAAAAAAAAAACGGAAAACAACAAAGAAATTGAGCAACAACTAATTTTGAACTCGGTCCTTTTCAGATGTAAATCAATTTGAAACTTAAACGCCATTTAAGACCTGGCATAGGTCCTAAAGGTGGTGGCTATTAAATTACTAAAGAGAATCCATATACCGTCTTTTCCCACCCTGTACTGCGCAAAAGAAATTGAGCATACGTCGTATTTAACGATGACTTGTACGACTTAGACTTTCGCCTTGGGTACGAAAAATACTAGGAGGTTTATACATTAGTCACTCCGAGTTAACTGGACCGTAAGAATCCTCTGGTCAGACGCGCGATTGATCGACGAGCATTTCTCATATTGATCTTCTCTCCCCTGAAAGAGCGTCCTGTTTTTTTCCCTCCTATTTGAAGGCGCCGTAAAAGGACTGCGTAAATGCCATACTCTTAGAAAATTACTTTAGGACTCACGGTTGCCATTTACCGAGAATCTATCGTGACGCGAGGAGATACGGAACGAGAATGCCCGTCGTAATTTTTCAAATATAAAAGAGATACCGGTCCTCCCCGACATACTCGCCGCTTACACATGTAACTTTTAACATCGCGCCTCTCTTCGAATCGCACGGTCAACCGTACACAATTGTTTCATAGAAGTGCAAGTCCAACGAGTTCTCGCGAAACGACACATTGTTAGAAAACTCGCGTCGCAAAATTCGATGAAAAGCTAAAGCAAAAGTCGAGCGTCAATCACACGATCGACTTGTTGGAAATCTTTCGATTCGCGCGAGGGAGAGAGCGAGCCTTTTTCTTTTCCGCCCCGCCGTGACGTTACGGAATTGGCGGAGAACGCGCGCGAGATCGTCAAGCCTCTGGCCGAGACGACGGGCGAGAGGAGACGCGGAATTCCGAGGCGCAAAACTACTCCATCGGCGATCGACGTTGATCTATCGCTCGCGATCAATTATCACGCGCGCGTAAGCCGGACGATTATGGCGCTGCTCCGCTCCTTCCTCCTCGTACCTTGTTCATCATTCCTCTCGATCCACCTCCTGTTTCTCCGCTCTCCTTCTCCCCGTCCGCCCCCGTGTTCCTCTGCTTCGCGCGGATGCGTTAACACTTGCGAAACCGCCCGCTTTTCGCGGCAGCGCGTGTCGTAGGTCGGCGATCTCGCGAGTTCTCGCCAGCGCACGGGAAAAGGAGATGGTCTCCGCCGTCGCCGTCGTCGTCGTCGTCGCACACGCGATCTCGCGTCTTCGTCGTAGCAGCCGTCGTCGCCGCTCGCCTCCTTCTTCTCCTCCTCCTCTCGCTCGCTTCGCGATTTTATAAGGCCTCGGACGGAATCCAATTAGAGGTCGGAGGCGATCTAGCACGCGCGCGCGTCCGTCGGCGCGACAGCGTCGGTATGCGTACTGCTGCTGCTGCTGCTGCTGCTGCTGGTGCGCGTTTGCACGCTCGCTCGCCGCCGGACTCGGCGCCCGCCTGACGATTCCTGGACGGGATGGATGTGCCGCCGAGATGCTGTCTCGTGGTGGTCGGTAAGTAAGGTCTTCCGCTCGCGTTAACGCGCGAACGTAAGCGGCTGGCGGCGGATCGATCCGCGGCGATGCGGTGGCGGTGGCGGTGGCGGTGGCGGAGGCGCCGGCGGCGGTGATGACGGCATTTTTCAAGACCTCGGCCCGCAAAACTGCGGGAGACTCGTAATACGCAGACACTCGCGCGGAGGAGACGTGTCTCGGCGCGACACCGTTACCCATACAGCACACAAATGTTGAATCGACACATTTCAGAAACATTCCACTACACATTGCAATATTGCAACAACATTACGAAATGTAGATTTACCGTTGAAAAGATATTGCAAAAACGTCTAATGTCCGCTGAATTGTAACGTCTTATAAACGTTACAATTCAACATTCAGAAAATATTATTGAATTATATTGAGTTAACATTGGTCGCGTTTAGCAGAATATCTTTTACAACTGTTGGAAGTGCTGAAATTGAATTATTCCACTAAAATAATAATCCAATCTTAGCTCAAGAAATTTCTAACCGGTACAAAATATTATATACATATACCGGGTGCGGCGATTGAAGTGATACCCTAGTTTCAAATAGCTTTCATTTCCAAACCGTCAATTGGTCAATATTCTAATTCATCAGGATTGCTTATTGTTATAGAGTCTGGCAACGACAGAAAAAGTTTTGTTGTCAGTGCAATAGTGAACATGATGGGCGACTTGGAAATGAAACGAAATGCGGTGATT